ACTACTAGTAAGGCACTTGTTACTACAAGCGATGCAGTTGTTCCTAGTAGCTTATTGTTTCTACGTTCGCTAACATTGTTACTACTAATAAGGCACTTGTTACTAGAAGCGATGCACTTGTTACTAGTAGCGAACACTTGTTACTGATAAGTCAACATGCTGGTTTCAAGTTCCTGTCAGTGTCAGCACGTTGATCAAAACAACATCATATGTGCCTTCGTGCGTTAACGCTATTCTTTCTAGTGTTGTTTCATGCAGCATCACACTTTTTGACAACGAGATCATGAGTGACTTCCCAAGGTGCCATAATGCGTTCAGTGCTGCACCTTTTGATGTGTTGAAAGGCTGTCTCCATGCTCTCAGTGCCTCGCTTTTGATGGCATCATAGACCTTTGAGGTGTCAGCAAAATAACATTGACATATTTTGACAACTGTTTGTTTGTGTTCTTGCTAGCAGCTATGTTCTGCTTCGCCCCTTGCCTTGAGCCACATTATTTGAAGAGATTATCACACCTCTTGCTATCAGCATCACACCTTTTGATGTCCCGTGTGCTTTTTTGGCCGCCACCCTTGGCACATAATATGATCATACTGGGTTCGTACCTTCACGCCATCAGCCTCACTCTTGGTATTTTGTAGTTGGTGGCCTTTCTCTCCTTCACATCTTTTGATGCTTTGAGCACCGCAAGCTTACCATATGTTTCCCTACATTTAGTCTGTTGGATACATCCTTTTGTGTTTATGTGCTTTCAGTGCTTCACCTTTTGCCCCATCAGGCTCGCAGTCTTACGTAAAATGATGACTGCCGCCTCCCAGGGTGGCTGGTCATTGCCGCCTACCACGCTTCGGGGCTTCCACTCCTGGGCTGCCAAGGTGAGGGACAGGGCGTAGAAACGACGGAAAAAGAATTGGGAAACGAAAGAAGGTGTAAGGAGTGAATTTGCGGAGGTAGCTTCACAAGAAGTCTCTGTCGCATCGGGTTTAAGTGTGCTCCCAACAGGTTGAAGAAATGTTTGCGTCATACAGACAGTACTCTGATGTGTTGAAAGCCTCGTTTTGATGATGCGCAGGGGCGCCACAAGATTACGGCGTCGTTTATTTCACAAGTGCCTGGTGTGGTTTCAGGACCAGCAACAGTTGGACAGCCTATCCCTCTCAAACTGTGGCGAAACGTTGCCTTCACACGTTGTACCTAACCTCAATCTCACGTCAAGCATTTTCTCGCTTTTTGAGGCGACCTCAGATCAGCCAGGCTTGACGGTGAGTTGGTTTTTTGTCACCAAAAACAGTAACGCCTGGAACAGCAATCTCTAACTTGGTAGATACTATTACTATAGATACCCGTGGTAGCCGTGGCCCCACATGCCCCGATGAAGCATTTCTCTCGCGGGAAACGATTGGATGGACAAAATTGCCGCATGAAGAATGATTGATCAGGGCCTCAGGGGCGTCACAGGAACAGTTGAAAAAGACGTGTCTTCATTGCGGAGTCATATTCTCGTGAGAGGATAACACACATGACCTGAGGCAACAGACCCATACGACCGAAAAGGACATGCCACCTAGAGCCCCCCAGATAAGTTGTGTTGTTGGAGGCTCGTTGTTGCTTTGGGGCTTGCGCGTTTTTGCAAAACGCTGGGTTCACAGAATGAGCCTGTGATGAGAAATGTCCTGCGGTTCGGTTCAAGTCCCTCCCTTTGTGCCCAGAAAGCCATTCACTCGGCCCACTTCGTTAAAGCTCACCACACCACACCGGCCTCAGATGACCCACGGCTCTGCGTCATTGCGCAAAATTGCTCAAACATCATCCACACCAATTCTAACTAGCTTAGATATCTCACCCATATTCCACAATCACACATCACCAAACATCTGATTTCACTTGCGCATCATTTTCCATTCCAGAACAATTCGGCAGGTGGCCTGACCTCTTGGGCGAATGATTTTTATGCGGGCCATAGCAGTGATGACCATTCGTGTGTTTCACTGAGGCAATGGAATAGCTTTGGAACAGTAAAGCACCATAAGCCTCGGTTTTGCCGAGAGGCCCTCATGCGCCCTGAATCAACTGAGGTTACGAAGCAGTGCGTCTATTACAAACTGGAGTACGAATGCAAGGCAGCAAGCAACGGAAATTTTGCAACCAAGCAAAGCTGATCGAGGCCTTCCCTTCTACTATGGCATTTAGGGCAGGGTTTGAGAACACAGTTGAGAACAAAGGAGCCATAAAAGAAGACAAGAGACTTATGAGCTGAGTCTTCCTTCGTGCAGTTTCTGAAGAGAAGGGGCGTACTTGCAACGACGTTAACGATGAGCAAATGGACTTTTCGCCTTTTGGCGATTCGACAGCGAAGGATTCGATTCGATCCGAGAGCGAAAAGGATATCGGATATTTTTGGAGATCGCACAGGCAGGTGTGCCGAGCTCGGCCGAGCTCTGGCTGCATTTTGCCAAACAAGAAGGATGGTCCAGCTCGAACCTTGCCACAGACTCTGACTGGTGAGTAGAAAGCATACAAGCAGCGCTGGGAGAGCGTCACCTCACCCCTACCAAGTTTTCCAGCAGTTGAGCGGATCAGAGATGGCAAGTACATGACCACTATCGGTGACACCACTCCACCAGGAAGAAGCAATCCGAACAAAAACGCAGCCAGCTGCAGGCCCAGAGGCGGTGCTCAATGAGCCCTTTAAAACAACTTCCTTGGCCACTAGCGATTAAATTCGCTGCTAGGCTAGAGGAGCCTATTCAATTCAGGGGAGGACAGCTGGTCTCTCTCTCTCTCTCTCTCAAGGCAAAGGGCCGAAAAGACAATGCGACAACTTTAGAGGCATTCTCCTCATGACCGCAGGAAAAACTGTCAGATCCACTATGAGAGAGCACGTGGACTCTCCATATGCGTTGTTTTTGCAACGCAGGCAACGTCATTTCAGCGCAACGAAACAAAGGTGTTAGCTCAGAGCCCCCAGGAAAGCGTCGGCCTGAAGCACCACACCCGCTGAGGTGGAGGACTCTCCTTTTGCGGCGCGGGCTTGTCAAAACGGAACACCTCAGGTTTTCCCTCATTTGTGCGCCGAAAACGCAAAGAGCTGGAACTCTCTTCAAGGCGCACAATCAAAGCACTCACAAGCCTACTGGGTTTACGTCCTCACCGCTTGAGATGAGTGCTGCGAAATTGATCTCTTCGTTTAACTCTGCATCTCACGGCTCAGCCGTGAAGGTGCATTCAGATTTCAGGTTTAGCCACCACCGTCCCCAACCTCCAACCATCTCAAATTGATCTCCATGTTTCACAACAAACTTGCCATTTGCCAAGTGGCGATTCTGCAAGTTACAAATGGACACTGTCAAAGGTTTGCCAAACACTTGTGTCAGTTCAGCTGAGTATCGGTCAACGACTTTCCTCAAAACAGAGTGAAGAGCCCCAATCTCCCATTCACGGTCGTACGGAATGACGAGTCTTAAGGCAATGTGGGAATGTTATGCCGGATAGACTTGTGCGCACGCCTCATGCATGGGTCAAGCACTAAATTCACCGCATTTCAGACGCTCCAACTCGTGAAACGAGCGTATTCCGTGTCCCTCCAAGCAAACTCAAGCCATTCGCCCTCGTAGTTGAGGCAAGAAGTCGTAGCCATGTTCATGACCGCGACAAAGAGTCGCAGTTCAAGTGTTCGAAAAACACCCAAATTTTCCGAGAGTTCACAGTGTGCTCACATTGCCATGTTTGAGCAGCAGCGCAATGGAGCTGAGCAGCCCTCAGCTCCCTTTTTTCTCTACGTTCTTTTCTTCAATCGCAACCCTGTGCCCCGCCCTGCCACCAGCCTTTGGACATCCAAGCTCTTATTCACTCAGCGATACAGTGTCATTCTGCCAACATACACTCAATCATTCAGTCATTGACTTTATCAGCCATGTCACAGACTATGCAGCGCAAACCTCATGCATTCGCAGCGCGTGCTTTACACCCAGTTCTCGCCCCCTCATTCGCAGTCATTTGCTCACCACCTTTCAATTGTTCACCCTCTCAACTCATGTCGTCACTGTTCGTTCCTCGATTTTTCCTCCTTTTACATATTTGCCCCCAATCGTCAACTTGGCAGGCTGCATGTGTCTTGTCACCAACAACTTCCTCTTCGCGCCTACTCGCTGTGAAGCTTGCTACGAGGGCAAGACCAAAACGCGCGTCGCGCCTCTTTGCTCTCCAAAGTGTGGACGGTGCTGGGCGCAACGAACTTTGCAAAGCTTGGCCGAGCAAATGAGGAGCGTTCTGGAACGAGGCATTCGGATTTCTGAGCTGGGTGTGTTTTACTTTGTCCAATTCCCAAACTCCTAAGAGTTTGAGTTTGATGGATGTGGACACTGGTTGATGGTGAATTAGATCTCATAGATTCCTGCGCGCGGGGAAATCGGGGTTGTTGACTGCTATTTAAACACAACAGAGAGGGCAGCAGTTACCAAGTTTGATGTGCCCTGTTGGACAGCACGGCAATGCGAGTCATGTCCCATTTCTATGTTGGTAGAGATGGCATGAAGCATCACAGGCTCCTCGCAGGCTGTCCTCCCAAAATCTGCTACCAGAACGACCGTTGAACGACGCAGGTGGGCGGGGCATTGTGGGGACCCACGGAATGAAGCTGCTGCAACGTGCCGTGCGGCAGGTCACGTGGAATTGGTTTGATTGTACCGGATGGAAGAGGTGAACGACTTGTAAGAAAAGGTGAAGAGAGACGTTTGAATCTACACTTGTCAACGAGTCACCATGCTCCGGAAAAGCTCTGACTAGGGAGTACCTTTGAGGGAGTGCGGATGGTTGGGATTGCAACGAAGATTCAATCATGTTCGCTCATTGTGCGGCATTCGTTTCCGGATCCAAGGGCGGCCCTGAGTTGGTGCAGCTCTTGCATTGGTCAAAGTTCAATCCCGTGGAGGCTGTATGCGGCCACGGTTTCACGCCGCAAGCGACGCAACGTCATTTCTGACACTTTGACGTTCGGGTTGTTTCTGCGGCACGTTTAACTGCAAGGTTTGCTTCAACTCGGTCCCACGGAACCGATCCTTTTAGGCCACAGAAGCCCGTCGGATGCATCAAATCCTCGAGGGGCAGGACAAAATGCTCCACTCTCGCCCACAGAAGTAAGTTGCACAGTGTTCAAGTTTGTTGGTTTCATTCTCTACGGCCAAACCGTCCACAAGTCCACAAGTGTTGTCTGCAACTCACTTGGCCAGTTCAGGAGCCGTATCCTGGCAACGCGTACAGCCTGCACATCTTTCGCCAGGCAGCCTTGGGAGGATGTGATGTGCGTTTCAGAATGCTGAGTCGGTTTTCAAATTCTGCTTGATGTTGTTACAACATTCAAGAGACGCTCTACGGTCAAGCAGATGTTCCCTGGTTTTCGTTTGTTACAACAGTTCTTGGACACCTTGGTCGAAGTTTGCACATTGATAAGTTTGTACAGACCTTCAAAGTCATTGTACACAGCTGGCGCAGGTACGTGACGAGTGGGCTAAGTTGGGCTACGTGCCCGCAAACGAGTTTCGCGTGGCATCAAGAGGCATCCCAGGATGTAGATGTTACAGTTTTGATCGTATCAAAGTTGCGACAAGACTATCCGGATTGCAGCACATCAAGTTTTGTTTTTGCTTGATGATATGGGTGTTGATGAAATTAGCGTGTGTTTCAGACACATGTTTCCCAAGTTGGAAAAGAGGTTTTGGTTGGTGTTAGCTACAGCAAGAAGCTTGTTTTGCATGTTCTTAGCAACCCCCAAACTACATAGTTTTGCAAGAACTTCACATGTTTCAATCAACGCAAGTCTCCCATGCAAGCTTTGTCAATCACGCTTCTTTCTTCAAAAACAACGGAGAGTCTCACATGTTGCCTGTGCGCGTCACAAACAACGTGCGAAACACCGCCGTCTACGCACCGTGGCCTAACTACGGTACTCAGGTTGGGCCCTGCCAAAGATGACCTTGCTCGTTCCACAAGGCCGCTGCACTTCACATGAGTGCCACAGGGTGAAGCCTTTCACGGTTTATCATTTAACAATCCAAGGCCTTTTTGCCTGCTTCAAGCAGCATATATCGGCGTGTTTCAGTTGTCCATTTGGCGCGAGGCCCCAAGCGGAGCTTCTTGTCAATGTTGATAGCTTCTCGCAGGGCCAAGGAGACCAAAGAAGTTTCTGAACTGCTGGAAGAGGCTCTAGAGGTCAAGAAGGCAAAGAAGCAAAGTCAACAGAAAAGAGAACTTGCTCTATTTTGCTTTTTTGTATCCTTTTGTGCTTGGGAAGAGGGGCTCCAGAAGTCCATGAGAAGAGTGGTGTGACGATTGGTTTCTAGCTCTTTGGCAAGATGAGGGCTGTGATGCAGAGATGATCGAAGAGCTTT